CATTGTGCATGATAATTTTCCAATACCCGAAGCAGGTATATTAGGCATATCATTTTTAAAACTAAATAAGGTAGTTTTGGATTGGGATAAAGAAGTGTTAATAATCCCAGAAAAAGTAATTAATAACGCACTAATTATTCCGCCGAGGAGTAATTGTGTATTACAAATAAAAGCGGACGAAGAAATCAATTGCGAAGCAATAACGATAAAAAAATATGAAATTAATGAAGACGTAATTATAGCTAATAGTATCAGTCCGGTCAAAGGTGATAAAATAATAAGTAATATAATAAATATATCCGAACAACCGTTTATAATCGAACAATTAACCACGAGTAATTTTAAATGGGAACCGTACCATGATAACGTTTTTATTGCTAGCGAAAGCAACAACTACTCTTCGAATAGAATTAAAAGGATCAAAGAAACTATTAATACCGAGCATCTTAATCACGAAGAACGCGATAACATATTAGACCTGTGTAGTCGTTTTTCTGATCTATTTTTTCTCGAAGGCGATCTTTTGAGTGCAACTGACATTGTTACGCATAAAATTAATACACCTAGGTGTGTTAAACCGATTAACATACGTCCATATAGGCTACCGCACGCGTATCAGGACGAGATAGAAAAACAAGTAAAAGAAATGAAAGACGCGAATATAATACGTAATTCGTTATCACCATTTAATTTTCCATTAGTGGTAGTAAAAAAGAAAAAAGATCTGAACGGTAACCAAAAGTTACGAGTATGTGTAGATTTCCGAAAATTAAACGAGGTTACGGAAAATGAAGCATACGGCTTACCGAATATATTGGAGATACTAGAATCCTTAGGCTCATCTAAGTACTTCTCTACACTAGATCTTGCCAGCGGTTATCATCAAATAATGATTGATAAGGGAGACACCCATAAAACAGCATTTTCTACAAAATCAGGGCATTATGAATTTTTACGTTTACCATTTGGACTTAGTTCTGCGCCGGCAACTTTTACTCGAGCCATGAAATCTATTTTAATGGGCTTGGAAGAGTTATGTACGGCGTATCTAGATGACATTGTAGTCCACGGGTCAAGTTTAGTAGATCACCAGAATAGGTTAGAGCAGGTGTTTACGCGATTAAGACTACATAAACTGAAATTGCAACCTAGTAAATGTATGTTTCTACGTAAAGAGGTGTTATATTTAGGGCACGTGATCAGCGAAAACGGGGTAACGCCTGATCCAAACAAATTAAGTTGTATTAAAGAATATCCGAGACCACTAAACGAGAAAGACGTAAAGTCATTCTTAGGTTTATTAAATTATTACCGCCGATTCGTTGATAACTTTGCCAAAATAGCAAAACCTCTTACTAGCTTATTAAATAAAAACACACCGTTCGTGTGGACGGACATGTGTGAAGAAGCATTCCAAGAATTAAAAAACGCGTTAATGAATCCACCTCTACTTATCTACCCTAATTGGGAAAATGGGAATTTTAACCTCATGACCGATGCAAGCCAATACGCAATTGGAGCGGTCTTGTCTCAAGGTGACGTACCTAAAGATCAACCCATAGCTTACGCAAGTAGAACTTTAAATACCGCCGAAACAAACTATAGCGTAATACAAAAAGAATTGTTAGCGATAGTATGGGCTGTAAAGTATTTTAGGCCTTATTTATACGGAAAAAAAATTTAAAATAATCACCGATCACCGTCCATTAACGTATTTATTCAATATAAAAGACGTTTCGTCTCAGTTAATGCGATGGCGATTACAGCTCGAGGAATACGATTACGAAATAATCTATAGAGCAGGCTCACAACATTCGAACGCGGATTGCTTATCACGTATACATGTTGTTACCAATGATGAGCCAATTAGCGATTTCGAAGAGTTTAAAAAAGCGGAAACTAAACCGATTTTTAATTCCAAAATAACTGAAATAGAGGAAAGTATAAAACACGCGCAAAATAATGAAAATATAATTTTACCTATTTCGAATGATAAAATAATAACGCATCCAGCGATAAGAGATGTAATAAACATTAACGATTTACCGCAGCAGGTAATTTTTAATGATAATAATAATTTTGTTTCGATTGAACAAACCGACAAATTAGTAATATTCTATAATCTTAAAAATAATCATTATACGACAATTAACGCCGAGAATTATTACGACGCTATTAAAGAGATTAAAATATATTGTATTGAAAAACAAATTAATCAATTATCGACTATCAGGCTAGAAGGGTTAACAACGTTGACCTGCTACGAGCGCATACGCACGATGTTCCGTTACATATTCCGAAACACTGATATAGCAGTAACTATTTATAAAAAACAATTTTTTACGGATGACAACGGAAATATAACAATAAAGATGGGGAGGAAGGACTATAGGATCCACGTAAATAATACAAAAAACATATTTCGAGACCGATTTATGAACACTTCGGTGTCATAACATATAAATATTTTTAGCTATAGGATCCTTCAATTTTCTTTTATTGTTATAAGTAGTCATAAACTAGTCATTGTTATATTATTATCGTAGGTAAAGACATATTAAGTTAACCAATTACATAATATGAAAAAAAAATAAGGTTATTAATTATTATGATAATTTTAATAAAATAATAAATAGGTATAAAATAATAATAACGTAGATAAGGATTTAATTACGAAGTTTTTATTTTTCTCGGGGGGGAAAAAAATTAAAAAACAAATCCGATAATCTATACATCTCTCAGACATTACAATATATTATTCCAATGACAAAATTGTATTTATTGTAAATGTATTTTCTTTAGTATACCAACATGAATTAACTCTTTTTCAGCTAATACCAATACCAAATTGTGACGAAAATAATTGTTTATATGTAAAACCTAATCATAAGTATTTAGCTATAAGTAAATCCAAAGAATTGTATTCCACTTATGACGAAATCGATAGAAGTCAATGTAAACATGCCAGTGATTTCCTCATGTGTCCTGAAATATATCCTTTACATCCTAGAAGTGTACGCCCCATATGCGAGGTGCTTCTACTACAAGATCCGAAGGAAGTTCCGGAGAGTTGCGAGATAATGCATGTACAGTTACAGACAAATTTATTTCACAAATTAAAATTCAAAAATGACTGGATTTATGCTACTCCAGGTGAAACCATATTTATAACATGCGATCATGACAAACGAAGCATGAACCACTTCTTAGAGGGAGTAGGAATATTGTCACTTAACGAAACATGTAAAGCATACGCGACACGGGACATATTGATTCCGCACATAGTGGAAACCGACACCGAGTATGTCGACTTCATACCAAATTCCAGAATGAGGGAACCCGCAGGAACATATGCGGGCTTGACCAACAACATTTTAAAAAATAAACACGTACGAACAAATCAAATGTTCGACTTAAATTTAGTTGCAAAATCTACATCGGAAATAAAAGAAGTAATATCACAGAACGACGAAACGGAAGAAATCAAATACAGCAAAAACAAACATGACTATTTACTATATGTAGTTAGTGCAATAACAGTCGTCTGTCTAATTCTATTCATGACAAGTTGGGTGGAAAAACTACCTTGGTGCGCTGACTTGCGCACTGCACAGCGGGAACAAGCAAACGATCGCAGACAAGAGACAGAGTTTGTACAACTTCCGATTTCCGAGCAACCCGACGTAACTGAAGGCCAAAAACCAACCCTCAGTTCCGGACATACACCGAGAGACATAATCAAGCAGGAAGCCCTAATACCGCGGAGCACGGCATATTCCGTGTATCCAACCATTTCATCTTTATGATACGGAGTATCATTCTTACAGGGGAGGAATGTAGTAAACCGACGTTTTTACACAAAAACGGCGTTCCAAAGGTTAGGTGGCCTGAACAACATCACGCCACCAAAATAGGCCACTGAGGCTGCCGCCTCATTGGTTAATACTGATCAACTACACATCACGCCATTCCTATGACGTCAATCATCCTTTCCTAAATCTCGGGCATGTCTCATATAAATAGGGGCCCTGTTTCACAGACTTTTCAGACATAGAAGTAATTACCAGTGCTTTACAATACTTGTGTGGGTCGCGGACTAGAAACAGCCGCATTGCCGTCCACATCAAGTATAATTTCAATTACAACTATTCTCCGGTAGAATTATTATTCTGTCGACAAATTTTACATTACTTTAAATTAACTATATTATTAGTTTCGTGTCAATAAAACTATAATTAACTACATTTTGTGTTAAAATATTCTTACTCTACCTTCACTTCAACCACCATCCTCCGATTCATTGCGACGACGTGTACGTGCATTCGTCGTTAAAGAAGTGTGCAGTAACCAAGTGCTACAGTACTAACAGTACTAACAGTGCCTACAGTAACAGCACAAATTAAGAATTTTAAGATATTTAAATATAATATTTATACGAATTAAGGTATATGTTAATTCGTGAGTAACAGTATAATAATTATTGTTCTATACTTCTTTAACAGCTGCTGCCTACGTAACGTAAAATATTTATCATACTATTTTGTCCGTGTTATCGGTTTTGATTTCAGTAAAAAATTGACGTGTTCTTATCATTGTTATCGAGGTATCGAGCGGAGTCTCGAAAAATGAGTGTACACCGTCTGAACGATTGAATAAAATTATAAAACGCCTTAAACAGTATTACAGTAATCATTTATCATTACTTTGTTAGTTATAATAGGTACGTATGGCCAACTCGTAAAAATATAAAGTCTGAGTAAATTCAAATTAATTACTTTTTCTTTATGTTTAATGTTTATATTTGATTTTGTTTCTACTCAATTCTCAATAATTACACTTCAGGTTTTATCATTCTTACTATAAATACGTACAGATCACTCCATTCATAAATTAATTAACTATATATTATTTTTTCCATAAAATGTTATGTGTACTTAGGTGAAGTTTTCAAATTTAGTATTACCATTCAACCACACCCATAGTACTATTATCTTTATAAAATGGGCCTTTGTAAATGTCCAAAGCGAAAAACAACGAGTCATTTTTGTTTTCATCATTGTGTCAATGTCTGTGAGCATTGCATCGTTAACAATCATACAACAGTAATTATTAATCATAACAACTACATTTTTTTTTTTTTGGTTTCTTCACGATATAGTTTTTAATATAAACCATGCTTTAGTGTACAGTTAAATCATATACCACCTGGTTGAAAGAAGCAAGCGGTAGCATATCTTCATCATCGGTTACAGCAGCTGCATTATGTGCTGTTTGTCAAAAGCAGTTTGTTTTAACATCAAAAGAAGTTGACAACTCAACAGTTCATCTCAATGGCGCTAGAAGTAACACAAAAATTCCTATACGGCTTTTATGCTATCGTAAGTAAACAATAAAAATATTAGAGCTCGTACATTTTTGAAGTCATAAATAATGTATGAGTATCATATATTAAATTATCATGCATTAATACATTTTTAGAATACTCATTATATTATTTACCTATTTAATTACATATCATTTTAATTGGATGTGCAAAGAAAGAAATCTTGTTTAATGATGTATGCACTTAATTTTTATTTTAAATTAAAACTACAGTAAAACCTCATTAATCCAGATAGCCGTTTAATAATACTTATTATTAGTATTATCATAATACTCTAACCTCAATATTTACCAGTTTCTTCAAACCAGTAAGAGTGTCAAGTGTGGTAAAATGAAGGTGTGCATGATTGCCATGTTCTAATTCTGTACTGCATTAGTTCTTTGTAAGGCTTATTGCATTATATTGCATTATTATTGCTTTATATATTATAAAGCGTTTGTATTTCTTAAATTTAAAATACAGATTATTTCCACTAACGGAGTGTTTAAATATATATCTTTTTCTTTGGTTATTTTTTTAATCAGGACTCATTCATTTGGAAAACCTAGATTAGTCTGGATCGATGAGGTTTTACTGTATTGACAATTTTGATATAAGACTTATTCGTTATTGACACAACAGATGTTTTATAAACTGTTCTATTAAATTGATAATTATTAACAGATGTAGTGCATACACGGTGTTTATCATCTTATGTTAAAAAGCAATTGAAAGAAGGAAACATTTTGAAATGTCCATCATGTGATCGACAATTGTGGATACAACAACAAGAGCAAACACAAGTTTCTGATGAGAACTCAGGAGTTGATTCCAATGATTTAACACCTGTTGCATCACTGTTGTACAAACATTTATTGGATAATGGTAGTTGGTGGGGCCAGGCATTGATTACAAATGGAAATGTATGCAATAAATAATAATGTGACATTTATTTGTAAATTGTAAAAAAAAAATGATAATTGTTTTTTTTTTTTTTCAAGGTAAATGATATTGAGAAATATTTAATTGAAGATGAACTCCATGAACTTGGTGAAGAATCAGATGAAGAAATACAACAATTTGAAAACCAATCAACATTCAAAAATAATACATCTCAAATAAATATTATTGCAGACAATACATCTCCCATTACACTAGCTGAAAAAATGCATTTGCCTGATAGTAACATTGGTTATTATAATCATTATGAATTAGCACATACAGCACCAGATGTAACAACTATCAACTACCGTAATAATACAAATCAAATATATCAACCAATCCATCATCGACATTTCAACAATAATTATGGTAAATAAAATAAAATAATAAGATGAAAAACAGAAATTTTACATTATGTCTATTCTAATTTTATTTATTCTAAATTATGATGATCTAATTAACATCTTTTTTTTGTAAAATTAAATCAAACATTTTATTTTGCTATGCAATTTTGAAGTCAAAAGTAGGTTATGAATTAGTGAACTATGTTTTTATTTTGTCAAATAATAACTAAATATTATTAGTTTATTACAGAATCATAAATAATAAATTATTCATTTGACCTTTTAGTAGTGGGGATGTGAAAATATTTCTTAGGATGGGTGGAGGCAAAAAAAAAATATTATATCCTTACCTTAGATTTTGGTTGGTTTATTAATTTTAAATTTCAAATTATGGTTTATAATATTTTGAAAACAAACAATGTAATGTTTCCTTATAATAAATAATGGTATATTTATTCTTGAATTAAATATAGTGTAAACAATTTGAATTTTTGCTTTAAGTAATGCTAATTATAAATTATTGAACAAGATACACAAGTAAAACATAATAAATTGTCTTAGCATGCTTCATTAAGGGGACGTTACAGTGACATATGTTGTCCCCGTCTTACAAGTGCGTAACATAGCAAATTGTACGCTCAGCAAACCACGTTTATCTCCCGTTAGTTTAAAAATTAGAGCGAATTTACCTCTTATAAAATTTAAAGGTAAGATTATTATCTAGACAATGACATAGGCTTTTTATTATATTTTAATTTTAAAGACAGTTATGAGTATTTTAAGATGTACAAACAGTTTACAATTTTAAAATACACATAACTCGCTTTAAAATTAAATTATAATAAAAAGCCTATGTCATTGTCTATACTCTATTTAAAATAAGACCGTGACCAGGCGGCCGAGTTGTGCGCATGGGCGTGGCTTTGTTTCGTGGCCGAGCCCAACGCACCGCCGTGGTGGGGACGGTGTTTCACCATATGTCTGACCGCCGCCGGACGAAAACTGGTCGCCGCCTGGTCACGGTCTTATTTTGAAAAGAGTATAGGTAATAATCTTACCTTTAAATTTTATAAGAGGTAAATTTGTTCTAATTTTTAAACTAACAGGAGATAAATGTGTTTTGCTGAGCTTAAAATTTGCTATGTTACGCACTTGTAAGATAGAAAACAAATGTAACTGTAACGGCCCCTTAAGAGGACACCATGTGTCGTTTCCGTCTTAGAAGTATGTAACATACCAAATTTACGCTCAACAGATCACATTTAGCTCTGTTACTTAAACAATTTGTGTGAATCAATCTATTATGAGAATTTTGTTTGTACAAATTTTGTAAGGTGCCCTTCTGTGAATATCACGAGGAACGTGATAAAAATAAACATTAGTTTTCATTCATAACTGATTTAAATCATTTTATTGAACATATTATTAACAAATTATAATTTTATAGTTGAAAGTAAAAAGAAAAAATATTGCTATAATAGTGAAAAACTAATAATTAATGAGATATTTGAGCAGAGCCGCATTTAGGGGGGCTCTGGGCGCTAGTATTTTAGGGACGCCAAAATGTTGTGGTCAGAAATTTGTTTACTTGTGAATTATTATATTATTATAATATAGTTTTATAACTTTAATTATTTTAAATTTTAATAACAGTATTATATATATACTATTATGCTGTTTCAATTTTTTTTAATTAATATTAATTTGTATATTGTCGTATATAGTTTTATTTTATTAATTCATGAAGAACCTACAACCCACTTAAATATGTTAAAAAAAACAACTTATATGATGAATTATAAGCAAGGTTTAAGTGACATAAATTCAAATGTATCTTTGAGGAGAGAGGATCAAGCAATTACTAAACAATATTTTTAAAAAAAAAATCATACATTGTAAAACAAATATTCTTTTCTGTGCTCAAAATCTAAAAGGTTAATGAGGATCTATCTCCTATATTTTCCGTGATTAGACCACTTAGGAAGGAGCAATTTTTTTTTCACCGGGGTTTAAGGGGTGCCAATGTTTTTTTTTGCACCGGGGAGCAAAATTTCTAAATGGGGCACTGTATTTAAGGCTGCTTATTTTTGGAAAGTTTGGTAATATCTGGTTCAATTTGAGACAACTGGCTGCGGAGGTTAGGTTCTACGTTTAAGGCGGTTTCGGTATTTGGTATTAGTAGCCGTATAAGCTAAAAATTCTGCCTCGCATAAATAAGTGGTAGCAAAGGGTAGGAATATTGTTATTGCTTTTTTACTCAAATTATCAAAACTTGTATTTTCCAAATTTACCCAAAATTGAACGTAAGAATTGTTGCTGAAAGTGGATTTCGATGTCAAATCTGAAGTAATATCGATCAAACTCTCAAGAACATTTTCAACAACACTTCTCGATTTGTAGGAAAATATTGATTAAATTAATTTTTCAGCTGTTTGAAGTGTTCAGAAATCTCGTTGATAATGTCTATGGGAGCCTGTTCTTCATTTTTAATTTTCACATTGAATTATGCAATACATAATTAGAAACACTATATTTAATATTATAGATATACAGATAGTATGCTAAGTAATTTTGTACGTACAACAATTTTTTGTCTTTTCAACTACAGTAAATTATAAATTTTTAATATATAATTTAATAATATTTTTCATTCTTGGATGAGCCGTGGTGCTCCTTAAATGAGCTCTCGGTGCCCACTTGCAAGACTGAAACAACACATGCAGGTGTGGTGTCATCTTAAACAAAATGTGTGCATGTCTAGGCTCCTTACAAAATAGCTTGACTGTTTTCTCTATTATGAAAATCTTTCATTCAATATAACTTTGGTTTAAATACTGCTAATAAGAATTTATTTGTTACTATGATTGTGTAATTTTAAAAGGTAACTTGAAAATTATTGTATTGAAAAATTTGTAATTCATTTTTTTTTTAGGTCAAGATTCAACATTAACATTACAACAGCTTCAGCATCAACAACAACAACAACAACAACAAAAACAATGTTCATCTGTTAATATGACAACAATTTCACAGAGTTCAGATTTGAATAATAGACATGTGATAACGTCCATTACTCCATTACTACTAAATAATGATAATAATTTGAATCATGATGAACAGCAAGATCCTAGTGGCAAATATAGGCCTAAAAAGTTTAATAATCAATCTTGGTCTTTAAGTTACCAACGGCTTTTGCAATATTTTCGTGGGTAAGGACAATTTCCTAGCAGCAGTCAGTACTAAGTTCTAGATTTTAGTTTTATACAAAAGTTATAATAAATTCTATTTTAAACATGGTTATCTACTCAGGTTAGGAATCTAAGTATAAGATGTTGCAACTAAACAAAATAATCTATGTATTGGTTAACTATACCTCTGGCAATCCTTGTACCATGCCACACACCGATTGTAACTAAACAGTAAACAATATGTTTACATATTTTATATTTCAGATAATAATAGAAGATATTAATAATTATGATTTAAGACTTTAAGAGTAATGTTTAAATAATTTAGTACTTAGATGCAATTTTGTGTCATCGAAATGATCAAATTTGATTATTTATATCAGTTAAAAATATTATAAATTAAAATTTTTAATGGAAAAGTTGACAAAATATAAATATCTAATAAGCACACTAAATAGAAAGAAACAGTGAACAATTAATATAATTGTATTTTATTTTTTATATTGATAATTTGTAAAGTACTTACAATTATATTTTATGAATTAGAAAACAATATTATCTTTACAATTAAATAAAATGTATCAAACTTACTAAATATATTATAAGATAATACATTTTATTCAAAATTAACTATAATATGAATAAATTACTTTCCTTAATTAGGAATGTCGATTCACTGCTAGAATTCTAATATTGAAAGATTTATCCTGGAGTAAAATGTTTCCCACAAACGTGAAAATTGTCACCAACAACATAATTCAGTATAGCATGTGGCGACTTTTATTTAATTGGGGATCACAGGATTCAGCAAATTGATATCAATACCTTATATAAATTACCTTCACAACCAGATACACACACATTAACACATTACACAGCATTTAACCATGACAATAATTCATTAATTTATAAGTTATCTTTAAAAAAAATGAAATAACCTTTACAATATGTTGAATTTTGAATCAAGCATTTTCTACTATGTTTAAAAAACAACATTAATTTTAACAACTTCATAAAATTGTACTATACACAAAATATTAATTTCACTGGTCGGCTAAACTATTTGTATTAGGACTAGTGCTGTTAACTCTCTCTCATACAAGGCTCACTACCCTGTGGGGCTAGCAATGAAAGTATACCACAACTCCTAACCTGTATAGATAACCTTCGTCTTAATTTCTTAATTAATGTTATATAAATGCATGACAGTTATTCAGTGTTAAGCTTATCAGAAAAATTAATTATCTTAATAAATTAATTTATAATAATTGTAACTTTTTTATAGTTAGCAATAATACTTAGAACATTTTAGCTTGTATAGTATAAATTATTAAAATAATTTTATATTTTTGTTTTTAGCACAAACAATAAACCAGAAGATAACAGTACTACAAGAATTGCTACAATAATTATTTTTTGTTTATTAATCATTGTAGTTTTATTAGTAGCTATTACTAGTTATACACGTTCCAATAATGAACCATTTGATAATAACAGCATAGATTATGCTGGAGACGATATTGAAAATAATGGTGGTGGTGCAGCAACAAATTTAAAAAGTTTCAATGTTAACAACTTGTAACACTAAATGTAATTTTTGTAATATTACTAAAAATCTTAATGTATTGTTTCTTATTAGATTAATAATTAATCTTTTTTTTTGTTTATGTGGCAAATTATTTTAAAATCATATTTTATTGTGAGATTCTCACTCAGTTATTTTATCAGTCACAAAAATATTACATTCAAATTGTTTCTGATATTCCATACAAAACCTAGAATTTGAATGAAAGTTTATTTTTATAATATTTTTATTTTATATTTAAAATTTAAATTAAAAAAATTAACTATTTTCTCTTCAATAAATACATTTATTTGACTACAATAAACATTTATTAGCTGGCAATGATGGTTCATATTTTTTTAAATATTAATATTATGGAACAGTGTTGCAATATTATAAGTATGCATTTCTTTCTTTAAAATACATATTTAAACAGTGTTTAAAAGACTTATAAAATGAAAAACTGATTTTTTTTTTTTTGTGATGTACGTCTTAATAGTAAAAGTTATAGTTGTTTATGTATTTATATACGATCATGTGAAATTTGCTATTATTATTGAAATAAACATGTGATTTTTAAAATAAAATCTATCTGATATTTATATTATAATTATGTATGTTTTTATTCGATAAAATTAACATACAGGTGTTGGTGTAATGAACTCCTATATTTTCTAGGTGAATTTATAAAAAAACTATGATATAAAGAAAAAAATGTATTTTTATAAAGTATACTATATAAGATCTTTTTTTAGTTAATATTAAATTATATTCTAGTAAAATTATTTAAGTTATTTTTTAAGAATTATATCGTCGAATGTGATGATTGACTAGTGGCACCAAGTATGAAATCCCTCTACGTTTTTGAAATATGACTCCATAACAAATTCATGTTGTTCACTGGATCGCGGGATGGTGACTACTGAAAATCTTATTGACGACTCTACCTAACAAGATTACAACTCACTCTAATCTAATCAATTTGAATACTCATCAATAATTATTTTCAATATGGTAGTCCTTTAAGCTGCAACCTGTAGATACTAAAATAATTAATAAATTACGATTTAGAATTTACATTTGCTATGATACAACAAAATTCATCAATTTTCCCAAGTAATCAAAATAAGTAATTTAAAATCTATTTTGATTATTTAAAAATATTTTGTGTATAATATATTAAAAAATATTAGAAACATTTTTAAGGTTTTTATGTATTTCAGTGGAATTATCTCAATATATTCATAAACAAATAATTGACATTAAAATTGAATAACTAAAAACATATAACAATAAGTTATAACTTATAAATTATAAGAATATTGTTTCAAATTTAGACGCAATATAAAAATAGATTATACCTAATTATGTTTATTAAATGATTTTTACTTGATCTGCAATTTAATGAAACTGTTTTGTAATATTAATTTGATGTACAACCTTATTTTTAAATGAAGTAAGACTATCAATAATGATAGTCTCTTGGGAATCAGTCGGCTATGACATAGACGTCATAGACCTATTAACTAGTTAATAGGTCTATGGGCCATGACACCGGCATTAAACAATGTGCACATTGCTATGGCAAAACAAAGAATCTTTACGTTTGTATAAATGTTCACACTGAGTATAGTAATGATAAGTACCACGTTTTCACGATTATATAGAACGGGTTATGCGTTGGAAGGAATATTTTCGGTCAGATTTTGTTACGGCGGTGTAGTTCTTAAAACCGCCGAGTGCTGCAAGTCATCCGTTTTACATATTAACATTTTCCTATACAAACCATGTTAAAACTAATTTTTTAATTAATAAATTGATAAACCTTTTGTTTTAATATTAGCGTTTTATTCATAGGCAATTCATAGACCTGCATTTTGGGTGTAGCCTACTGTATTTTTAGACCTCTCTTTTTTTATTTCGGCCCTACTAACAATGTATACAAACTTTGATAATATTAAATTATTTTTCCTCAACCTAATTGAATTATTATTATTATTAATTATAATATAATTTTTTAAGAGATATGCAATGGTGTTTTAAAAATATTTTGATAAATTTTAAATTATTTAACATTTTTGTTTATTTTTTTTTTAGTGGTTTTACAATGTTTGAAAAATGCCTATTGCCTAGTAATTTAATATGACCCCACTATGACAATAATATTAAATATTAATAATATATTATACGATTCGTCTTCACAAATCACAATAGATGATTTATATTTATGATGATGACAAGGAACAATTCGTTTAGAGCCCAGTTAACTAGCAGCGCCTACCTAGTGGTAAATAGCCGAACTATATTACCGTAACAATTTCTGACCGCGGTTGTTTCATACAAACCTTATACCGACGCATAACCTGTTCTTTATAATCGTGCATGTTTTTACATTATCGTAATTACAAGTTTTATGTTTATTGTTTTGTCTGTCCGTGCCGTTTGTAACGTAGACTCGCGACTCCTTTCCACTTGTTATATTCTGCGACTTAACGCCGTTTTTGTATTTTGAGTATTAGATTGTAGTTTTATTCTGTGCTATCATCATGGTGAATTTGTGCATTGTGAAAGAATGCAATAATTCTAGTGCGCTGACTATGAAGAAGTGCATAATGTTTATGTTACCTCAAGATGAATTACGGTGAGTTTAATTTAGCCTGTCACTAATGTATATAAATTATAATATATTATGAATATGTATCTAATTATAATTTAAAAAATTTAGTTGTAAGAATTGGCTGATAAATTGCGGTCGACAAGATTTATTAGAAAAACCAACAATACGTCGTTATGTGTGTGCAGACCATTTCGAGGACAAAATGTACTCAAACCTTGATAGAACAGTTTTATTGCCTACTGCTGTTCCTACTGATTTCTGTAATTATAATTTTACATATTACATATTGTGTTATTCCTTACTGATTATTGTTTTTTTTTATAGCATTGATCTTTAAAGAACATGCGTGCAGTACTTCATGTGTGGATACTAGTGGTATATCAGATCCATTATTGTTTAATAATTCAGTTGTCACGAGTACTCCGACAAAACAAAAGGAGTCAATTTCTATTACTTGTAAGTTTTTGTCGAAATTTTTTGTACGAAATAGACTGAAATAGTGAAATATAATAAAATTAAGAACAAAATAAATTAACTTAACTTACTTCTTAAAATGAAAAATGAATTTCACATTAATTAAAAAAGAAATTTAGTAAGTTAACAGTTAAATTAATGAGCCTATCCAAAAAGTACCAAATAATACTAACTGCTTATTCAAAATTAAATTTGAATGTATCAAAATATTCTGCTCTGTAATAAGAACATAGGCACAATAAGGGGGAGAGGGCTTTAGAGGATAATCCCCCAAACATTTTGTTTTAAGGTAATTCAATATTATAAAAGATTTTGGAAATAATGAATATAAGATTTTTTATTGTAAAAATGGGTTCCACTTTTTTTTCAGTGAAAACTGGTCAAACTGTTCGGTTGAACTGGCCCTACTGTATGCTGCCGGTGTCATGTCCACAAAAAAAGTGGCATGAGAAAGCCCTTACAAAAACATAACGTGATCTAGCGGTCACATTTATTATTGTACTCATATTTTATCAGAACTAGTATTCCTGACAAAAATAATATTGGGGGACGAGGTGGCCGAGCGGTCAACGCGTCGGCTACGGCGCTGCCGGTTCTTGTTCGATCCTCGACCACAGGGCGGCATTTTTCTCCGGGCAAGTCACGGTGTCCGGAGAACAAGTGCCGCCATCCCCCACTCCGGGGCATGGCAGAAACCTACGGGTGCCCAATAGAAATTCTGCCAAACATTCACGTGTTCCAACCCTACTGTACCAACTGTTCCAACCCTACTGTACCAACCTTACCAACCGTCAGGCTAATGTTGTCGAAGCCTTAAAAAAAAATAAAAAAATAATATTCGTGACTAACATCATTATGAAATATAATATTTTCTAGATAATACCCCAGACATATCAATAGGTGACCTCAAACATATTGTAAACAATCAAAATACAAAATTAGAAAGAACAGAAATAATTAAGTTGAGGGAAAAGTTGGATAATGTAGTTGAAGACGAATGTTGGGAATTAGATGATGTGTTTGTAGAGCACAATAAATTATAGTTCTGCACCTGATTCTACAGTTTTTGAAGAGATGGGGGGTCGTTCTCCGACAAACATAAATTTGATAACATAATGTAACCTCAAACATTTTCCAATACCAACATAATTTGAATTAAATTGATATTAGGGAAATGTTGTACCAATCATACCGCCGTACTTGTCGGAGTATCGGACTATTATTGCTTAAAATATATTAGAACAGTGCACAATTAAAAATAAATCAATTGTGTTCTTGTAGAATTAAAGACTATAAGATTTGGTAAAATAAATAATTTCATATTGTTGCTTGACATTATACTGAGTTAATGTATTGTCGTATGACAACATACCCAATAATTATTAAGCTCTAGTAAAAATGGCCGACTGACTCAAGCAATTGTCCTATGCTGCCTATGTAAAATGTTATCAGTGTCCATTCTGATTGTTATATTCTGTGATACAAGTATACAACCAAGTGGAGACCCATTCGGCCTACGATTATGAAAAATAAATCAGCCATATGCTATTACTACGTTCACTTTTAGAACTTAATTGTTTACTTTTGGTTATTCACTATTATAAATAAGTTGTTTGGAGTGACTACACTGATGTAGTGTCCTAACCCCAAAATTAATATAATATTATTCATGAAGACTTCAGGGAACCCTTAGATCATATTATACATGGCTCTACGCCTCTACCCATTGTATAATATGATCTAAGAAGAGACCAAACTCCACTTTTGACATAGACCTTATACCACGATTTAAGATATATTATGATATATCTATATTCATAGACGGAACATATTATTATAGTAGGTAGTTCCCATGTTGACGATATGCTGGGTCTCGCGAAGCACACGGCACATCGCACATGCGACATGCACAGTAGCACGGTACAAA